TTTTTGTAAAATTGTTATTCTGTATGTGTGTGATATGTGAGAACTCAGTTGAGCTAAATCTTTAGAAGTCTTTAGAGGAGAAATCCCAGTCGACAAATTTTTTGGCCCTTGACAACCTCCTTATATTCTCGAGGGACCAGGCTACGTTTGTTGATCACTCGACCGCTTCACGAAAACTGTTTATTTTTCAGCAGTGTTGGTCTGCTATTTATACCAAAATTCAGTTTTATAGGCTTAGTAATTCGAAAGACACTTTTTTTTATTTTTGTTCAGCCACAACCAATACGAAGCTTGCTCAGCACTACTAGAAACTTTCTTCAGTCATGCTGTGTATTACCTGCCTGACAGTCCTGACCCTATGAAAAGTGTATGCCAGACTTCCTCTTGCACCAAACTCAACAGCGAAAACCTGGATTTGTATACTTTCTTGTTTAAATCTTGAATCAGCTTTTCATACTTTGCAGTTTTTAAATCGTGGCTACTGAGCATTTTATCTTAGTACGACACAGTTTAATAACGATAACTGAATTCGTCCAAGAGTGTGGAATCAAATTTCTAAAAATGGTTTTTGTTGTGAAAACAATTGTAAACTTTAACAAAAAATTAAAATTGAATTACAATGACCAACCTTAAATTAATATAGATTTAGAGATTTTTTTAAATTTTATTTGCGCTTTGTGTAATATCTATCTAGTGTTTTTCTGGATAGATACCAAACATTGTTAGTGATAAATAAATTTCTGAAACATCGTACTAACAACTAACACTTGTTTTGCTAACATAGTTGAGTTTGTTAATCTACTAACAACTAACATCTAACATGCCTCTCATAGATCATTTAGGGAAAATTTTGTTATTAGTTGCTGAATGTTTTTGTGTGAATTTAAAACATTTCTGTTTATGTGGCCATACTAAATGAATTTTACATAAATTCTATAAGAGTTATCCTGCTTTCTTTTAATTTTCAATTTTTAGAACAAAGTAAATTTTCGTTTCATTTCGTATGTATGTACGAGCCCATGAATAAAAACTATAGCCAGAAAACTATCATTTGTTTCTCTCGCACGACGTATAATACACCTGTTACACGTAATACACTATAATGTGTATGTATGTACGTTAAAACCAAACGTGATGAATGACACTGAAACAGTCAAACATCAAGTAACAAATGGGTTAACATATTGATCTGTTGTTAGCTGCACACGTCGGCATTCAGTTGAATATTCGCCATCACACAAACATGCAGGAATCGCCGCAACAAACACAAAATGTGACTCCTTGCAAAAAACAGTCTTCTGCTGTCACATGATCTAACACTAATTAACTTGTATGTATTTATGTATGTATGAACCCGTTTTGATCAACTAGTCAAGGTTAAGAAAGCAATCATTTCTGAGTTAAATTTTTTTCTATGACCCTGGTCTCGCACAGACATGTACCCAGCAGCTCCATCCAGAATGGAAAAAAAATTAAAGTTTTGTATTAAAAGTGACAAGGTTTTTTTTTAAATAATTACTTTCATTAAGGTCACCTGTTAAATCTAATATTTTTTCTATCAATTCTTTAATGAATGATGATGTTTCATTATCTGTTGGTTCGAAAGTTTCAATGCAAATAAATTAAAATAATTTGCTTATATTATTTAATGAAGCGTATTTTTCGTTTTTAAAATCAGACGCTTCCGCTGAAATATAACCAATATAACGGTGTGCGGTAAAGTAACGTCCCAAGCCAAAGACCGTCCCTGCGCCCATGGGGTGATAGTGTAAACATCCGGCCTAAAAGTTCCTTCCTCTATCAAACCCATAGGTTATTTATAACCGGAATACTAGCTTTTTGGAAACATCGAACTAGGTATTCATTGATAGCTGTATGTCTGGCCTGTCTTCCGGGGCCTAGGCGGCAAGAAAGGCTTTGGTACCCGAGTTGATCAACCCTTGCCCCGCATGCGCACTTGTATTCGGTAATGATTTGGGCTCGAGTCATAGACCAGAATACTATGACATCATTTGGCTAGTTTTCTTCATTCATCACCTTATCAAAATCTGCTCCAAGGAACAAGATTCTGAATGCAGCGCTGGTTTTTGCGACACTGGTTTGAAAGTTGATATTATTATTATTTGAACTTTTTTATTGAAAACAGATTTGATTAAAGAGATACAAGGTAAAGCATTTACGTTAATAGATTTGAGATGATTGATAACGTCTTCAGAAGTACATTGATCTAATTTACCTACATAGACCATTTTCTTACGCGTCTCAATCTTCATTGGCCTTAATGTTGATGAATAGTTGTTTTTTTTTACCAATCACTTTTTTAGTCTTATCAATTTTTTGTTTGCGTTGTACAAATAGAGGAACTTCTGATTTAATCACAACTGGCGGTAAGGTTCTGGGTTTTATTTTTACCGCGTTGAACTAACGTGAAGTTATCGTCAGTCTGATTGTCATCATTTTGTGCATCATTAGTGTCTCTATCTGCCCACGGTAATTTGATATTAAACGTAAGTGTTTTTATTGCTTTACTATTCGAATTAATATTTTTGTTGATACGACGTACACTGTTTGAAATCGCGTTATTTGAAGATTGAGTTAAATTTGCATCAACTTTAATACTTTCTGCTGCAGCAACTGGTCTTTTAAAATTCAAAGCTAGAAAATTTAATCTCTCGTTCACCTGGAGTATTTGCTTATTGAAGGAGTCCACCTGTAATAATTGTTTTTGCAAGACTCAAGTGTATTGGGCATGCACACCTGTTGTTTCATTATCATTTTGCTTATTTCATTACGTAAATTTTCAAAATTCACTTTAATGACATTTTCCAATCTGTGCACCCTTGTTAAATCCTTGCTGACAAAAACCGGAAACTTTTCTAGAAAATTATTTGATTCAAGACACTTAAGAGCGGCAAGGCAATCCAACAATTTGTTTTTTTCAGTTGTCCCATGCAAAATTAATTTATCATTTTTATTTTCAATTTCGCTTTTATACAATTCTACTACACTTTTCAAACATTCTAAGCTACAAACAAATTCTTTCCGAGAATAAAATTCAGAAACGTTGTAAACGAAAGCATCATTATCTAATAAACCAAGATTATTGGTTAAAAAATACAATAATTCATTAACGACAATTGCCTTAGACGCCATTTTCGAGTATCGAGTATGTATCTATATATGTATGTATGTATGTAATTCGGCCATTGTTTGTTATCATCGTTAGCCAGTGCTGCGTCCAACAAACGGCAAAATGATTTTTTGATTTTTTTCGTCGCCCAATTTGGCAACATCCAGCTTTATAGTCCTAGCAGCCCTGTGCGTTTTTTGGCAGGTTTCGCTGACAGTAGAACTATTATTTTGATCAGCCTGTGATCTGACCAGAGAGTTGAGTTGTAGTGCCTATTGCTTTGGTGAGACACACACACACACACACACACACACATACACATACATGCATGCATGCAACACTTAGAAAATGTAATTTTGTAGTTGAAATGTCACATCTTATAATTCTCACAAACAGCGGTCGAAAAACTGTTAGACATGTCGCTATTTCTAAATTTGTTTCAGGAGAGGATTTCAGAAAGATACTATGGGAATGATTCTTGTGAAGTTCCATCTTGGCCCTACTCCTAAAATTTATGCTACAAACACTGCTTGCAACAAAACAGAAAGTACAACTATTTCCTGCACCAAGAATAATATAATTTTAAAAAGAATAAAAATCTAAAATTTACCCTAGAAACATTGTTTACAACTGAAAACAAGAAATACAAATATTTCCCGCCCATTGATTAGGTTTATAATGTAACAAGCAATATAAATTAATTTGGGACTCTAAACGGCAGTTTTTGTCGTAATAATTAATTTGGGACCCTAAACTACAGGATTGTTAGATGGAAAAAAAGTAGACTAGCTTGTTATAAGTAATTTTGTGGAACGTTATACGGTTAATAATTCTGTTACAAATATACCACGGCCTACAATCATATCAACCGTTTTTTTTAATGAAATTGAAAATAAAAGTATGCTGATTAAAAGTAATGTCGATCATAAAAAAGATTCTACTGAAGCGCTTTCTGAGAAATCAGCTGATATTGATAACGATCATGGCTTGTCTACAGTTACCCTCCAAAAACGTTTGAAACGTCCTTTGACTATATGTGTACAACTTCCGTCATCAAAGTTTATTATTGGCTTTCGACCTTCAGTTGAATCGAAAATCGAACGGACTTTGTATGAAGTGGCGTCAAATGTCATCGGCTTCTGGCAAAATGTCTACCAAGATTGGTTCGATGATCACGATAAGGAGGCTCGTCGGCTAATAAACACCATGAGATCCACGCACGTTGCCTATGCTATCGACAAGGACAACGGCGCAAAGAAAACATTCTATTCCAATGTTTGTAATCTGGCACAAAAAATGCTTCTACAGTTGAAGGAATCTTGGTGGGTGGAAAAAGCACAAAAATTTCAAACAGCTGCGGACAATAATGATCCAAAATCATTTTATCAAATGTTGAGAACTGTCTACGGTCTGCGAGAATCTGGCAGTATTCCGGTTTGCTCATCTGATAGTCTGATGCTCATTAGAGATGGTCCAAGTATATCGGCTCGCTGGGCCGACCATTTTCAGCGTGTGCTAAACCGAATAACTTCACTCGAAAAAACGGTGTTTTCTGAGATACCGGACTGGAGCACAGATAATGAGCTTTGCAACGCACCCAGCTTTCGTGAAATTGAAAGAGCAATCTACCTGATAGCGTCAGGCATATCACGGGTATCGATGGACTACTAGCAAAGCTTTTTAAAGCTGGCGGACCACAGCTTATCAAAAAGCTGGTTACAACGTGTGGTATCTTGTGGAATGATCAATCGGTGCCTCAGGATTTCTTATTGTTCATATCTTCAAACGTGAATGTGACCGTTCTAACTGCGATGATCACAGAGATATTTCTTTGTTTTTCATATTTGAAAAAATACTAGCCAAAATCATTTTTAATTGGCTAACAAAGCACGTGGACAAACTGTGTGTGCGATGGACATTATCTTTGCAGCTAGACAAATACAGGAGAAGTGCCGTGAGCAACAGAAAGAGCTTTTTTTTCATTTTCATCGACTTGTCAAAAACGTTTGATGCAGTTGACAAGTCTGCACTGTTGAGATGCCTTAAAAAAATTGGCTGTCCTCCAGTCATCGTAGCCATAATACGCTCCTTTACTGACGGTATGAAAGCGAGCGTGGTTGAAAATTGCCAGTGTTCTCCAAGCTTCGAAGTTACAAACGGGACAAAACAGGGCTGCGTGTTGGCCCCTCTACTGTTTAATATTTATTTCTCCTTAATGTTTCAGGTCACTTTTTTGACAAAAACTTTGACGGTCACCGTTCGCGACCTTCTCTTTGCTGATGACTGTGCTCTGGTTGCACATTTACCTCAGGAAGTCCAGTTGTTTAAACGTTTTCACGACACAGCCATAAGATTAGGACTCGCAGTTAGCTCAAAAAAGACAGAAGTCATATGTCAATCGTTTCCTGTGTATCCAGAGGCAGTGGCCGACGTGATGGCAAATGACGTTTTCATTAATTCTGTTGGCAGATTTTGCTACCTTGGGTGTTATCTGTCAAACACTTTTACTATAGACGTCGACGTCACTGCAAGGCCAGCGAGGACAGGGGATGCATTTGGAAAACTGAACAGATGGCTGTAGAACAAACATGGTATATCTATGTGCACCAAGGTTGCTGTTAACAGAGCAGTCGTGTTATCTTCACTGTTGTATGGATGCGAAACTTAGACTATTAATCGCCGCCACATACGTGGGAATGACCGGTTCCCACACGAGATGCCTCAGTAAAATTGCACACATCGGATGGGAAGACAAAGTGCCCAACACAAAGGTTCTAAAAATATGTGATATTTCGGGCATTGAAACCTTTATGCTCGAGGCCCAGTTTCGTTGGACTGGTCATGTCGTTCGCATTTCAGACTCAAAAATCCCCAAACAAGTGTTTGTTTTTTTGGACAGCTGGCCACTGGAAGTCGTCTCGCAAGCGATCCGGTGCGACAATACAAGGACAACCGGAAAGACAACTTAAAAAATATAAACTCAACTCAGGCTCCTTTTGTCATGATGCTTTTTGGCGTTCGAAGTGGAGAAGGAAATGCATGTCAGCGGTCGATGGATTTGAAAGAATTCGAATTGCTGTACTTGATGATAAAAGATAACGTCGTAAATGCGACGTCTAAAGCAGCATTAGCACGGGAGCGTGTGTCTGTCAGTTTTGTTCATGGAGATGCCTGTTCCAAGAATTGGACTCCTTGCTCATTTGAAGACTCACCGATGACGAAATCCGTCATACCGACGGTGTAGTCCATATACGACGTACGTACGTATGTATGTATTATCAGAATTTAAAAAAATTGAAGATTTTCATTATTTTTAAATCAGCTACTAAAATTGACATTGCTCAAAATTGACATTGCATTTGTAAAACGCAAACATAGATGTATTTATACCCGTTTGAGATATGGGCATGTGGACATCGTACGTTTAATTGATAATATCATGGTTTCACGTTGCAATTGCAGACTATTTCGTATGAGTGCATAAAACAAGGAGGTTCTAATTACTAGTTATTAATTACAATCACTAATAACAAATACTAAATAAATTAATTAACATCATTTCATGTGCGGTGTTGTGATGGCGTAACAGTTAAAATGCCTGACATAGCTATGGCAATAGGTTCGAATGCAATAGGTTTCTCCGCCTATCACTGCAATATGTGTGATGCGTTGGTATGTAGGCGGTGTATGTAGGTGTTCACATTTCCGAAAGATACCATAGAGAATAGTCATGGATGTATTTTTTAAACATTATTTGAAACAAAAATGCAGGAAACGATGAAAGAACGAACATACCCTGAATGCTTGAATGTTATTAATTCATTCTTATCCATATTACAATTAACTACAATTATTGAATTCATGATCATAAATTTAATCACCAACATGATAGTTTTGGGTAATTTATTTTTAAAAATTTATATTTATATTGTTAATCAGCAACCAAAAAATAAACACTTTCTAGCCTGGTGCTAACACAAAATGCTGCGCTGTTGCATCGTACAAAAGTATAACTTACATGTATGTACACTTCACTGAACTATGTATAAGAAGGAAAATGCAATACAAGAATTTTCGCGGTTTACCTGGATTTTTACAATTCTGTTTATAACCGTAAACATTAGCCACCGGCCATTTTGTTTTCTGTCGGTGATCGCGATTTCGATTGTAAAACATTTATTTAGTTTTTAAAATAAATTTTAAATTTGTATTCAGTTTGGTATCGGTTCATTATTTGTAATATTAACTACTAAATTTTTGGTTTTTGTTGTGTAAATTAAATGTTAATGCAATTCAAATGTTCCAGGTTGTTTTTGCGCTAAACTCCACTTTGTACTAAAAATTATAAGAGTAAGAAATAAGACTAACTAAATTATTTAAAGACCGCGATTAGATTTCAAATTTTAGGAAACGTTACTTTGGTTGAAAGTTAAGTGAGAGTTACAGTTAGGTTGACAGAAACGATTTCTGCTTTGATATGTGGTGGTTGTGAAACATTATTAGCATCCATTCCAAGACCATTAATTTTTTCTGATTTAAACTTCTGGCACAATGTGCACGGTAAAGTACTCTGGAGTTATATTATGACGATTTTAGGTTATTATGATATATTATTGTCTGTAAGTAAAACAGTAAATGTAATATATTTTCAACTGAATAATATTTTTAGATTAATAAAAAAAAGATCTTTGTAATTGTGGAATAATTTTTTATCAAAGTAACTTAGTCTTATCTTAAACAAAAGTTGGTCTTACGAAGATCGGTTGATAAGTTGCTTACCTTATTACACGATAGGCTTTCGAAACGATGTGTATCATGATGGAATAAAGGACTAGATGCCAAGGTTCAATAAACCAAGATATTGTTTTACAAGAGGACACAAATTTAAGTTACAAAAAAGTCAGTTTAAACTGAACATAAAAAATTATTACTTTACTAATATAAAAATATATATATTAAACATATTAAAAGTGTGCAGCGCTCAACCATGAAGCAACACCGATTGAACGGTCTTGAGCTCTGGCAGTTGAACATAATTTTGGCGAAGTTATTAATTTTTTATATTTAGTAGTAGTAGTAGTAGTAGTAGTAGTAGTAGTAGTAGTAGTAGTAGTAGTAGTTGTTGTTGTTGTTGTTGTTGTTGTAGCAGTAATGCTGTTCTAGGGGTTATCCAGAGAGCATGCTGTAAGGCATGCTAACACAGCTGATTTGTTGATTGATTGTTGTTCATCCAACAATCAATGCCTGCTTTAAATTTGTTTATTGATTGTGTGCCTCAGCAAGTTTCATTTGGTAAATAAAATAAGTAATTTTTTCTGCCTTTAAGTCTTGTTAATTCTTTGAAATATTTCAAACTGTGACCTCGCGTTTTGGTTTTGACCATACTAAAACTATTATTTAAACCAATTTTGTCCAAATTATGCATGGTTTTAAACAACTGAATTAAATCTCCTCTTCTTCTTCTTTCCATCAAAGTTGTTAATCCTAATTTTTTAAAACGATCTTCGTAAGCTAGGTTTCTTTTTGTTGCTTTATGCTGGACTCATTCCATCACCCTTTAGATCTAGAGACCAAACTGATACTGCAAACTCCAACAGTGGACGAATAAAGATTAGGTATAAATAACGAAGCAATTTATAATCAAATTTTTTAAAAGATTAATTTATTTGACCAAGCATTTGGTTTGCTTTTGTTTGATGCTGTGATGACTAAATTTTTCAATTTTAAGTTATTTAAAAAAATAATTTAACAAGATCTCTCTCGGATTCAGATTCAGCAAGGAGTATTCTATTTTTATACAGTGGCCATTTTTTATTACCTGATCCGTAGTGCATAACAGTACATTTTTCAATTTTAAACCGTAAAAGCCAGTCTTGCGTCCATTTAAATGCCTCATTCAAATCAGACTGAAGTTCGACTCATGATTTTGGTATCATCTCAAAGATTTTTGTTGTATTTTTCAGATTAGTTGGTAAGTCATTGGTGTAGAAGATGAAGAGTAGAGGACCAATAACAGAGCCCTGGGAACACCACTACAAATTTCAGCCCAGTCAGAAATAGTTTCACCTTGAACAATTTTTTGTCTTCTGTTTTTAAGAAACGTTTCATTCCATTTATAAACTAATCCATTTATTCCATGAGCATTTCATTTAGCTAATAATCTTCTGTGTGGAACAGTATAAAATGCCTTGACAAAATCAAGCAGGACTACATCCACTGGAATGGAATTATCAAATTATATGAAATAAAATCAAAAGTTTCAAGTAGACATGTTGTGCATGATTTACTTTTAATTTACTTTTAACAAAACCATGTTGTTGTCTTACTATTGTGTTGTTCCTTAAAAGATGATCTTCTACATTTTTTCGATTTATACTTTCCATTATTTTAAACGGAACTATTGTTAAAAAAACCGGGCGATAATTTGTGGCTACAGTTTTGTTGCTTTTTTGCAGATCGGTGAAACGTTTGCCTATCTGAATTGAACTGGAAGTTGACTGGTAGTCAAAAAGGTCTAAAAAATCAAAGCATTTGGAACGGCAAACGCCTCTGCACACTTTTTTTGAAAATACTGGATGCAGTTTATCAACACCACAAGATTGTTTTCATCGAGCTGTCTATGTTTATCTAAAGCAATCTCATAACTGATATCATCTGGCATCATATCTATAAATTGTTCAAAATTACTTTCATTTATATAAAAAGGCGGAATTTTATTATCGTCTTTTAGTACAAACACGTCTTGAAAACTGGCATTTATTATATTCACAATTTTAACTGAGTTGTGACTTAGTTCGCCATTTTGGTATCCTTAAAAACTTAATTGACTCTTTCACTGTGAACTAATATTTGCTCGTAACGAAGACGTGCTTGGTCGATTTCAAATATTTGCAGAAATCTTTATATTCATCACGTAGATTTTTATCCTTCCATTTACGAATGTTATTTTTATATTTTAAACACTTTTTTCTTCTGATAAGTGATTTTAAATGTGAGTTGATCTATGGAGCTGTTCTATTACGACGTTTGTTGCATCGACTATGGGTACAAAAATATTAATTACTTCACTTATGTTATAAACAAATTCGTCATACATTTGTTTTACAGTCATGTACATTAAATATTACTCGAGATATTTCTCTGTAATTTTTTTTTATTATATAAAAAATTTGTATATAGACTTTTGTTGAACTGGACAGTCATTTTCTACAAAAAAATCAAAGGACATAAAGGACATGACCTTAAGTTATATTACCAAGAACAAAAATTGGATCTACTGAACATACGTTTCCTGATTCCGTTGTAAAAATCAAATCTCAAATGTTCTCTTTTACACCCTTAGACTTTTGAAATGTTGGTACGTTAACAAGTTGATAGAGGAACGTGTTGTTAATTATGTCGCTAAATTTGTGTTCAATGTCACTGACATTTTTAATTGTTGTGATTGACCCATTAAACCATTCCATTGATGGAAAATTAAAATCTCTCATTATCGGAACATATTTAAAACCCTTATTATTAACGCAATACCTAGCTTGTTTGAAAACAAGTTCAAGACCAATCACATCCACAAAATAATCTGGTCTATAATCTGGTCACTCCGCCACCATTATGTCCATCATTTCTATCTTTTCTATATACATTAAAGTTGTTTATATTGTTATAACAGACCCCTTCAACTTGTAGGGTAGGGTTATTTCTTTTTACGTGGATTCTTGATTCCTAAGCGGACAGATGACTTGATTAGAAAGAAACAATGCTGGCAATCACTTGTGTGTATTGCCGTAATCGGTCACTCGTTCGTTCGATCGTTAGAATACAGCACAAAATCTAATCGACAGGTAAATCAAAGAATACAACTATTCGTCAGTAAAGGTTCTCTTGTCCAACTAATTACATTGAGTTCTCTAGTCCTGGTATTCTTTACTGCAGTGAGCTTTCAGCTATCGGAATCTTACCTCTGTCACCGGTGTGTAATCTCCTGAAGATCCCACCTCTAACACCAGTGTCGTAACCTTTTCGACTTCGTAACTACCTACACCGATGTTATAGCTTTAGTACTCGCTATATCTCCAACACCGTGTTGTAGCTTCAAGCGAAAGTCAAGAGTTCGTTTATCCGTAGGCTCAAGATCTCCGATAGATGAACACAGCAAATTTAAACGCAAACTACGTCAAACGTTCATTTAATACCAGCAGTAATAGAAACATTAACTTAATCCTAATAACTAAATAAAATCACATTATTCACATTTACGTCAATTGTATTCCTCGTGTTCTCTTCGTCGTGTTATTTTCATTCTTACGTCCTGTTCGTGTTCCGACTTACATAGTGGGTGATGCCGCGTCACGTGACTTCCAATCGTTTACGCCTTTTTGCTAGTAAGCGCATCTCATGACTTTTACCACCGTTTTAATTGGCTCCGCCTATAAATTATCAAGCGCTTCATTTTACTTTCTAGTTACTAATTTTTATCTCACCTTCACGTATGTAACACTGCCCTCCACTGAGACCGAAAATCATCCTCGATTTGGTCAATTCCCTTTGCTGCGTTGGTCTTTTTGTTCTGGGTAGGGGCCATCCGATCCAGATGTACAATCTTCATTTTGATCCGAGACTTACCTCGTTTTCGTACCCGATGCACCACGTCGTCGATCCAGGTGGCGACTTGGCACGACTTTTCCCAACCCTTCCACTCATTTAATGCATGCCTTCGATTCTTAATTAGTTGAAGGTGATCAATTTGTGCGTTTCGTTCCTCAGCGTAATCATCCTTTAATTTCGAGTCGTTCTTCGGTTTTTCAATTTCATCTTGCCGTTCATTCAGTCTATCTCGACTTTCGTCTCTAAACTTTATGGTAAAGTTATCTTGGGACTGTTTCACCTTTTCTTCCGTGTTTACTTGTCACTCTTTGAGCACCTGCTTCACTCTTACGTCATTTTCATCTTCTTGTTCTTTCATCTCGTCTGTATGCTCCTGTTTCGGTCTTTTGATTTCTCTATGTTCCCGTTGATGACTTCTACCTTTACTCTTGGGAATATTTCTTTCTGTTGTTTCATCCTTCAGATCCTTTTCAAGTGTGTCCAGCTTATCTCTGCTCACTTTTTCGTCTTCGGAATCGTTTGATTTTGTGAGTTCCTTCAACTCGTTATCTTTGTTCGTCAATTTGCCGGTTACTTCCCAATCGTCATCAGGATTGATGTAATCTGTATTATTGTTGTCATCATCTTTTTTTTCATTAGCGTGATGACTACCTTTCTGCACGTCAACACGTGCATCATGGTTGTCAGGTGCTTTGCCAATTTCACGTGCGTTGCAGTCGACATCACCCATAGGTGGGTATGCTGGCAGTATAATTTTTTAAAATCATGTTGGCCTCTTTTGCTGGAGACAACCGTTAGAAGAAATAAATATTAATTAAAGTTAATCGAATTTATAATTTTATTAAAATTGAAAAAATGTCTTGAAGTTTTCATCATGAATTGTGTTAAGCATCTGCAAACATCATATAATTAATTTATAAAATTTTATTAAAAAATTGCTTGATTTGTATATACTTCTCTTATTGATTTACTGATTTTTTTGCTCTTAGGTTTATTATTTATAAATTGAGTAATTTTTTGATTGACCGATTATTTGTTGTATTGCTTTAGCACTTGATTGATTATTTGATTGTTTTATTTCATTAATTTATTGCTGTATGGTTTATTTCGTTCAATTTTAAAATTAAATTAGATTTATGATAGATTTTTTAGACCGAATGATTTTTTGTTTGTTTGATACATTATCTTATTATTTTACCATTAGTTCTGTCAATCAATTGAGTAACCAGTTAAGTGTGCTTGCTGTTTAAATGTTTTCAACAGTTTCCTTCATTGAATTTTTATGTATGCTTTTTTTTATTTCGTTTTATTTTATTTTTAATTAATAAATAAAAATTTCTTAATTCATTTGCAAAATTATCATTTTTGCTCATTACAACATTACTCTCTCTTTAGATTGCTAAGTCTATTTAACAATCAATGTCAGTTTCGTCGTGGAAAGAAGCTAGCCTGTCTAGTGGCGGATCTAGAGGGCTAGTTTTTTTATTAAAAGTCAGAAAAAAGACCGTTTTATGTGTGTAAAATCGACCAAAAATTTAACGTGATAAACAAAAAAAAAGGTCGTCAGTCACACTACCACAAATCTTGACCCTCACGGAAAAATTTTGACCTCCCGTAAAAATTTAAACATTTCCAAATCATTTCCAAATTTTTGGTCCCCCTGTTGAAGTTGTCTAGATCCGCCACTGAACCTGTATACGTGAACGATTTTGTCTTTGCACGTGCCTTTCGGTGTTCTTGAATGCGATAAACAATGCCATTTAATCGAAAAATGACTACTTGGTCCTTCCCACTTTTGTGTAGCTTTTGAGACCGTCGTTTTTTCACAATAGGTTTGTTAAATTTCTTATTACGTAGATCGCTTAATTAATTGATACAATATTGAAAGACATTAATAGACAAGAAATAAACTTTGCAACGTTCTCGACTTGTTTATTATCAACCGGATCAACAGAAAAGGAAAAGTGAAGTTACATACAAAGCAAAGAACATTTGGTCCAAAGAAAATAAATGTATACTATAAATCATAATGTTTTAATATAAAACATAAAACTTAACACCTTCTCATTTTATTTAAAACATTAGATGACCTTAACCTAAATGTTCTGAAGACCCATCGCACACATCAGATTCTTTAGTCTTGGTCCTACCATTGGTTTTGTCAGAGCATCAGCAACTTGAAGTTCTGTCGCAACTCGTTCAACTGAAACTTCTTCTTCTGCAACTTTTTCTCTGACAAAGAAATGTCTAATGTGGATGTGCTTTGTTCTTCTGTGAAGTTCTGGATTGTGTGCTAACCGAATTGCTGCTTCATTGTCGACAAAAATTTCTGGTTTTTTCTTTAGATCTACGATGTCGTTCAACAATCGTTTGAGCCATATCACTTCACGAGCTGCTTCACTTGCGGCAACGATTTCTGCTTCAGTAGTTGAAATCGCAACTGAGGGCTGACGTTGGCTAAACCAACTGATCACGCTTCCTCCAAACATACAGATTACACCTGATGTCGATCTTCCACTAGTTTTATCTCCTCCATGATCTGCATCACTGTAGGCTATAAGTGTATTGTTTTGACCAGACTTGTAAGCAATACCGACATCAGCTGTGCCTTGCAAATATCTGAAAATTTGCTTAACTTGTGCTACACTGGACTTGCTGGGTTTCTCTAAACTTCTGGATGCTACTCCAACTGCATATGCAATATCTGGTCTTGTTCCCGTCATCAAGTACATCAATGCACCAACTGCTGATCTGTAAGGAAATTTCACTTCCTCATGTTCATTTTTGTTTTCATCGAACTCCTCAGATTTTGAAATCGGAGTTGTACAGGATTTACAATGACTCATCCCAAACTTTTCAAAAATCATTCTTGTATAGGATGACTGACTGACATTAATATTTCCCTTCTCATCTTGATTAATCTCTAATCCAAGGAAATATTTTGCAGGTTTAGATGTTATCTTGAACTCAGACTTTAATTCTTTTTCAAATATTTTTAGTTCTTCTTTATTGGTTCCTGCAACTAGTCCATCATCAACATACAGTGCAAGTATGAGTTTCTTTCCTCCCTGTATTCTAATGAACAAACAAGTATCTGCATCGCTTTGTTTGAAATGTCTCTTTTTCAAGAATTCAGCAAAGCGTTTGTTCCAACATCTTGGAGCTTGTTTAAGTCCATAGAGACTTCGCTTGAGTTTACAGACTCTTCCTGAATTATCTTTAAAACCTTCAGGTTGCTCCATGTAAATATCTTCATCTAGTTTGCTGTATAGAAATGCTGTTGACACATCAAACTGCATGAGTGACATCTTTTCATTTGCAGCAACACTTAATAGTGTTCTTATAGTTGAACTTCTCACCACAGGACTATAGGTTTCTTCATAGTCAATTCCCTTTTTCTGAGAAAAACCTTTTACCACTAGCCTGGCTTTAAAACGTTCAACAGAACCATCTGGATTGTGTTTTACCTTGTAGACCCATTTGCATGGTATTGCCTTATGACCTTTTGGAAGACTTACCAAATCCCACGTTTGATTTTCCTTTAATGACTGCATTTCACTGTTCATGGCTTTAAACCATTCATCTTTTTCATCACTTTGAATGGCATCTTTGTAGCTCTCTGGTTCAAGTACTTCACTTAATGCAGACATAACGAAAGGATCATAACGAGAATGGCTTTTTGATATTATTCCTGTCACGTAGAACCATACCTTTGGTCTTTTGATTACAACAGTCAGATTGATCTTCTTCATCAGATGAAACTGAACTACGGTTGTGAACATCTTCATTAGTGTCATCTGAAATTTCTTCTTTTGAATCATCATTTCTACTACTTGAGTCATTTACTGATTTGCAATTGATTTGAGGATCTGTTGTAAAATCTTTTTGAGTCTGATGTTCAAATGATGTTGTACATTTCATAGGTTTTTCTTGGAAAACTACATCTCTTGAGAATATCATTTTATATTGATTTTTGAGCCATATACGATAGCGTTCGTCACCATCGTAACCAACAAGGTAACCTTTTATGGCTTTCTTATCCATTTTTTGACGTTTTTGATCAGGTATGTGAACAAAACATGTAGAGCCAATTATTCTCAAATGGTTAATTCTCGGCTTTTTACCTGTCCAAATTTCAAATGGGCTTTTATCTTCAATCGACGACTTGCCTGTTCGATTAAGTAAATATACTGCAGTTGAACATAACTCAGCCCACATAGCGACTGGAAATTCAAAATCTGGATTTGAGTACTTCAACCATTTCTACTATTGTTCTGTTTTCACGTTCACTACCACCATTTTGTTGAGGTGTATATGATGCTGTTAGTCTTTGCGTGATTCCATGGCTGCGCAGGATGTTTCGAACTTCTTCGTTGTCAAACTCACCCCCATTGTCACTCAAAAATTCTTTTACTTTATGACCTTGAGTCGCTGCTTGAGACAAAATATTTTGTAGTGCCTGTTTCACTTCATTTTTGTGTCTAAGAAAAGAAATGAACCTCATTTTGCTGTAATGATCTTTGAAAACAACAAAATATCGTTTACTATTAAATGATTCTGTACTGAAAGGACCACAAACATCTGCTGATAGTAGTTCACCTGGTTA